GACCTATAAGAGAACATCCTCCTCCCAGTTGTTGATACTACAGCCTAAAATTAAGGCATAAAAGAAAGAATGACAACTTAGTTTCCTTAATTAATCTTAGGAACAGCAACATAATAAAAAAGTATAAACAATGTCAAGTCAATTTAAATAATCAATGTGTTTATAGCAGCATCGTAAAATAACTTTAATTATTTTTTTAAATGCTGGCTTTTTTCTTTAAATATTTTCATTTGATTTCTCCAATGAAGGATAAGGTTTATAGCAACAAAGCCTGCCTGCACCAAATTATTCCACAAAGTTCAGTCATTAGGAGGCATTTTCAACAAACATATGGTACCACAAGAGAACGTCCAGTATCAATAACTGAGGCAATATAGATACTATTTGGTGAACCCCTACTCGCAAAGGCTTTGGTGAGGATTGACTTTTTTTTTCCTACAGAATTTAAAATCCTATACCTGTGAGTAATGCAGATAGCAGGGTTTCCCAGATACACCACACTGTTATATATGTGAAAAGTGTGATGTTCACATACAATAAAAGACTGTTGAATTACTTTAATACTGAGCTGATGCTTTTTCAGAATAATCACTGGTACATAAAGAATAATTGCAAGTAGCAGCAGCATAGGAACGTGCACTGAATTAGATTTCATCTTTATAGACAAAAACTGGCTCAGACGGGGGAAGAAGTGGGATGAAACTACCATTTATAGAATCCTACCTGGAAAGTTCTTTTCAATGAACATACCAACTAGCACATGTACACCTCCCCACCTCAGAAGAGGGACTAGCCATCCATCCTCATGAACATCTGTGTGCATGTGTGTGCGTGTGCGTGGGAGAGAGAGAGAGAGAGAGAGAGAGAGAGAGAGAGAGAAAGGGAGGGAGACAGAGAGAGGTTTAGGCACCTGAGACCTCACTGCCATCAGCACAGATTACCCGCTAAAACATTAAACCTATTTTTGAATCATGGAACACACACACAAAAAAACAGAATAAAGCAAAAAACATTTCCAGGTAAAATCATCCCATTCAAATCTTTGGTCAAAACGTATCTAACATCAAAACAGTAAAATCTGACATTATAACACTGCAATTTGTCTTAAAGTAGTGTTTTCCTCAAGACCAACCACTCCTGGGAGATTGTCAACTTTATTAAGTAGTCTCTGTTGACTCTTCCAAATAGAAATCTTCCTGAAAAAACACAAGAAGCAAATTCACTTCATAATTCAGTCTAGAATGTAGATTAGAGAAGTGCAAAGTATTTCTATATGCTCTCTGCGAACAAAAAAAAAAAAAAAAATCAAAAAACACACACATGATCCTGTATGATTGCACACATACTTGTGACAAGGCACGCAAGTTAAAATGTCAGAAGAAACAGCATCCTTGTAAAGAACAAGAAACTCTGGAAGCAAGAAGAATTCAACCCTGAAGGTAACACCCAGTTAAGAAATATGTCAAAGAGAAATTTCTCCCCACATCCAGATTCCTTTCAGCAAGATTCAGAGCCAGGATTTCCAACAAGTAGTATGAAGTGGAGGAAACCCAGCAAATACAAAAAACCACAAGGTAAGGCGGTCATGTGCTCACAGCTACGTTTCAACTTCTCCTGCTTACGCAGACACCGTAAATCTCCCCATACAGCCATGAAGACAATGAATTATATATGCTGATGTATTACTGAGGACATTCTAATCCTATGCAGAAATTGTACATTTAAGATTTAAACAGAGTTTTTACAGTTTGGCCTCTGCTGACTCAGCATGGAGACCAACGATCTATGTTCACTTTATTATGTTAAATGCATGTTTTCCTTTCTATTATAAATAGACTCACAGCATAGGCAGCTGTTATCTAGTGGACTGTCAGTAAATTGTTTCAGATGATGTAAAGCCTTCTTGTCATTCACTGACATGCTATACTGATCTTAGGTGAAATGGTAAAACTCTACTCATTAAGACATGCAATAATATGTATATTTTTCACTAGCACATAGAACAAGAACAGTGATCCTCCAGCCCGGTTTTACCTGTTCTGCACCATGCTCATTGCCATCCAGTCGGAAGGGTAAACATTCTTTCCAATGAGATCTTTAAACATTATGAATGTTTCCATCAAGAAGTCCTAAAACAAGAAAATACAATGATACGTGACTGTGTAAAACAAAGACTTCAGGTGCTCCTCCTGTGATTAAGCAACAAAGAGGTAGGGCTTCATTCTGTTCTCTGTGAAACCAGTGTAAGAATTCCCATTGATATTAGTAACCCCAAGACTCTTGTAAGACAGCAGTCACAGATTCAAAATGAAAACTAAAAGTCATTATTACATTGACCTGCTAAGAAAAGTCAATTCATAAATGAATGGAAAGAAAAAGTTGCAGTAATTTGGAGTAAACCTGCTGAATTAATTATTATTTAGCAGAACAGTCTCTCAATACATAGGGAATGAAGAGATTCAAAAAACATTTTTAGTTAGTCCATTTAATCTAAATTTAGTATTCTAAATTAAAAATTGTAGACAGACAAAAACCTTCAAACAAAACAGCCAGTCTATTTCATATCTATTGCAAATATACAGTTTTACCCTTGAATTTCTGGACAAGGCCACAAAACTCTGTGAGGCTAGCAAGCTGAAATGTCACCATCTATTACCGAAACCTCACAAGCAGCTCTCTGCACTCTTCCTTCCTTCCTTCCTTCCTTCCTTCCTTCCTTCCTTCCTTCCTTCCTTCCTTCCTTCCTTCCTTCCTTCCTTCCTTCCTTCCTTCCTTCCTTCCTTCCTTCCTTCCTTCCTTCCTTCCTTCCTTCCTTCCTTCCTTCCTCTGCTTCCACAGAGAGCAGCTCTGTACTCTTTCTTCCTTGTCAAATTACTTAAAGGAAACCCAATGAACAATAAGTTTCAACAGCTTTATTGGAAAACAAATATTTATCATCTTCACAGATGTATACTTACAGTACTTACAAAAACAAAAAGACAACAAATCAATGTCTTTAAAAAAAGCTAAAAGCATTAAATATATTGATGTCTTCTCTTTACAATTTGCTGTGCGGGATTGCTCAAGTAGATTAAGGATTACTGAAATTGATAGTTTTCATTCAAATTGCTAGATATAATCTAGGACCAATACCCAAACTGCTTGGAAGCTGAAGTACATTAAATTACTCTTATGTTACCAAGTAACCTAAAGCACCTGAAGAACTGCAAAAGCTATCCAAGATTTGATCTGTTAGCATTTCAGTTATGGGACAATTCTGACTATACCAAAGCACGTGAAAGGGACGAATACTGCCAACTGAAAACACTACCTCCATGGAGAAACTTTAGATAGTGTAATTACAGCCTTTGCCAATACCCAGACTTAATTCAGAGTTGTGCCAGGAATATAAACAGAGGGACAGAAAAAAGTCTACTAAAACTGTCTAGAAGAGAGTGACCCCGGTATAAATGAGGACGTTCCTTAGGTATCATTCATTTACTGTAGGAATAACTGCCATAAAAAGATGCACCGTGAGAAAAAGGGATTCACTGCATTCAGCATACAACATTATCCTGGTCAGAAGTAGACTCAGTATTGAAAATGAAAAGTGGAAGTGGATGACCTGTGCAAAATGAGGAAGGAAGGGTTGATTGGTTGAGTTTTTTTCAAAACAATATAACACAAAGGTCTTACTACTTATTCCCGATTATTAAATTATCCACTTCAGTACTGGAATCAACAAAAGTGACATTTATGTCTTTCCAAATTTCTGACCGCAGTATTATCCAAGCACACTACCAGAAGAGGGAGGCAATACAAAGACCCAGAGACAGAAAACATACAGAAACAGACTTCATGCTAGAAAGAATCAGGCAAGACAACCCAAAACAACGTTGCTCATTTTTCACAGCTAATAAAAAACTTAGAAATAGAATTATGTATTTATCAACTCCATGATTATTTTTGTACTCACCACTAGCTCTGAACTTGTCTGAAAAGTTTCAATATATACCGAGTAATGTTGGTTGTTCATCTGGTTTAAGATCGCTGTCATGCATGCCACAAAATGACTCTAAAAGAAAATCAGAAAGATATCAACAGAAAGTTAACGCACGTCTACATTACTTTAGACATGAGACTGCATTCTTTCCAACGGTGAACTATTCTAAGCATCTAATAAATCCTTTTATGCTAAGCATCTAATAAATCCTTTTATGTTTACACACACACACCCCTATATATATATAAATGTCACATTTTTGCCAGCCCTGATGGAAGAAATGTAGTAAGAACTCAAAAAGGACAATACAAAAGCTACTCCAGGAAGGAGGTGGTTTTTTGTATTTTCTCAAACTTCCTCAAAAGGAAGAATTCTATTTTTTTTTTAATTCCTAAAGCAGAAGTGTTGCAAGATATAAAGTAGTTGATAATCCTAGGTTTTCACTGCAATTTACTCAGTGTGACAAAGACATTTCTTATCTCTCAGACTAGAACAGTAAGCTTAATGGTTGGAATTTTCCCTCAAAAATACAAGAAAGAATCCTCCTACTGAGGCATTTTACTTTGATATTTATTTTATAAGTTTTAATTACCCTTAAGTGAACTTGCTTTAAATGCTTTGATTTTCTTAAAGTAAGCGAATATGAAGGACACCAGCATACAAAATATTTTTCCAGATTTACTTGGAACTTTTTACTTTATTGGTTGAGAATTGATTCAAGTGACTCCCCAGTCCCTCTAACCAGAAGTGAATTTCATCTTGTCCTGGACTTCAGAGATCAGATGCTCCCTTTCACACGGATTCACTTTACGCTTCTGTTACATCACAAAAGCAACAAGGACACACGTTACTCAAGTATCAATTGCAGTTTGTTTTACCCAACCATTTTGTCTATCTCTTAGAGAAAGCAAGCTTTCTTTAACTTCAGGTTATGGCCACTAGAGGTCTTTTACTTACATACGGTAGCTGCTGTTCAGTATGTAGTGCCCTTTTTTTTTTTTCCCTACGTGAACAGATCCAGTACACTTCTTGCATACAAACAGTGACAATTACGCTATAAAGGACTTATTATACCTTCTTTTGGAGTAACATTAGTGCTAGTGAGAGGCTTGCCTACTTCGTAAGACTAAGAAGATATATTTTCTGCAGGTAAACCCAAAGCTTTCAGGTAAGATATCGTGTGTTCTCGGGTACTGATGCTGTTCTAAAAGGAAATGCTGATTTTCCTGCTATAAGAGTTTACTTTTACAGGTATGGCTCAGACAAGTCTTGTTTGTGATGTTTAATCCATAGCTGTTAGCAATAATGAACTGCAAAGGATTCAGTAGTGAAATCATGATGTTTTTTGTTCTGAGGCCCTGATTTTAATTTTGAAAAAAAATTACTGACAGAAGTTACAGGATATTGTACAGGAAAAAAAGACAGTTTGCATTTTTAGTAGTTTAAACAGATGCTGCAGAATGTCTCCTTACGCTTATTTTAAATAATCACTTCTCGAAACAAGTAGGATTTCTTCACAAGCCTAGGATAGATGTATTGCATTGCTTACAGGCATAAAGACTTTAAGAATGTTAATTTATTTGTTGAAACCAACTCCTAAAACGTATCTAGCTACATCTCTGATTATGATACAGCATGAATGTCTATTCTTAGTAACTGTGTATGGTCATTTTAAAATTAACATATGATAGGTTTTAATCACTGAAGACAGATCCACAAATAGAGATTATATTTTGTTAGCCAGTGCCTCACACCAAACCTGTCATATTCACATCAGTGCAACTGATAAATAAAAAAAAGACTGTGACAGTAAAGCTAGTTTACTACAAAAACTTCCTCCACCATTTCCATGTAACTGTAAAGCAGGAAAATACACCAATACTGTTTGATCTTTCGTCATTTTCTTGTCAGCAATCTCAGCTATTAGAAATTAACTCCTTTTTAAGTTACCCAAGTACTCAGGCACTCTCAGCACCACCATTCTCACTGCTAGAACTTAACCGTAAGGACTAGAGAGACCAGTGAGAAATCTGCAAATCAGCAGGTTTTCATTTAAAGTCTCCTATGCTATTTAAGTACCTCCTGCTAGAATGTGCAAAGAATATCAACTGCTTGAAAATAAAGCAAGTTCGGCACAAGAACCATCTGTTAGACTTTGACTGCACTAGATGGACAGAAGAAATTCAGAATCAAGCACCACCTACAAACACAATAGTTCACTGCTTATGATTCTAAACTTTTTTTTGTTTTTAAAAATCAAGCACTTTATGTAAGGATTGAACATTAAAAAAAGGCTGCAGCAGGTAAAACCCTGACAAGTCATTTCAGCTGTGCTTAGGCTTGTTAGGATTTATCTAATGTATCACAGCAGAGATGCTTGATTGGAAGTAGGTCAAATGTGTTTAAAAAAAAAGAAAAAAGAAAAAGAAAAAAGAAAAGACATTATCCAAATAAACACTTGACTGATAAAGGAATATTAACAGAAACATTAACAGAAAAATCTCTGTTTGGAATACACTGCTCTATTTTGAGGAGAAGCAATAACGTGTACCTATTTTTAAGTTTCTAAATATTTGTTTTCATTTAAATTTAAAAGACTTCCTGAACAGAAACAGTGCTGAATTCTAATTTTAGAAGTCACCAACTGGCTGACAACCTCCAAAAAATAGGTGAAGAAATAAGAAAATAGATGGTATAAACACTGCCCTTTTATCACTAGCAGGAATACAGAATAAATAGGATAATGAGACATAAAGGAAGAAATCTCTTCTCTCAGGAACCAAACTCCCTATCCACTAAAAAAAACCCCATGGTTAATATCATATTTCACTGACCTATAATGCTGGCTGGCTTTAGTGTTAACTTTGCTAAAAAACGAGACTATTTCAGTTGTGTATCTACAAGCACATCAGGAGGAATCACAGGTGCATTCAGAAAAACAAATGGGGCGTTCTGAGGTCAAGGTGGAAAGGGCAAGCAGAAAATTATCTGCCCTATTATTATTAAAGAGCATACTAGCCGTGGATGCAACTCTTACAGTAAAAGAATCATCTTAAAAATATTAGAGTCATATGAGTAAGATGACAAACTTCAGCACCTAGCAACTAAATCCCAGCATACTTTATTATAGCAGATGGTGACAGGTTGCCGTAGTAACTTCAAATAATGTACACCAGCACCACAGGAATAAATAAAGAAAATGCACTGGAGAAAGGAATAGCATCAGAAATAACGTAGAATGAAGCTGCACTTCGATACTGATTTAGTGAAAGTGTTTGAATGACTGTACTGTGGACAGCTTTCGTGCAGGTGTATTTCTGGAATAAAAAAGGAGGGTATTTATTTCATGTAGCCAATTAAGTAACATTTATCCTCCTTAATAGAGACCTTTACCAACATAGGGCCACACACCCAGGGCTACAGATAGAGTAATGACATGTATATCATCAAAAGCAGTAAAACAAAATGCAAACATGAATAATTCAAAGCCTTCTGAAGGTCAAAGACATGGTAGTTATATTTATATCCCCTTTTTAACAGAAAATTTAAGTTTTAAATACTCATTTTACTTAAGCTCACAATTAATGCAAGTTAAGAGGCCTCCCTCACATAGCACCATCTTGACAATCCTCAACCCTTTTCACTAATGACAGCTTACAACTAATTAATGTAGTTTTCTGCTTTGGTCAAAGAATCTCATCCAAAAGATCCAACTTTTTCATAGTTTATTAAGCAACCATGCTACATATATCAGATCTAATTCTGAACTCCCTTTCAGGTTAACCCAGAAGTTTTAAAACTCAATTTATGTTGGTGATAGTAATTATAAAATATGGCGCATATAAAAAGGGGTGACAAATAATTTCTGCAGGCCAAACAGTTCTTTTTTTGAACAAAAAAAAGAATTCAAAAGTCTTTCTGGAGGAAAAGTAACAAATAAATATGATACTGTTAGTGTAATTATAGAAAACCCAGCACACAAACTGTTTCAATCTAATGTCAAAAATGACTATTTATGTTGTAGCACATACACGTAACTCAGAAGATCTCCCAATATACACTCTTCACAGAACTACTGAATCATCTCATCTGCTCAGCATCACGAGGCGCAACAGCAACATGGTAATTATTATCAATGCAAAGTATGGAAGGTGCTCACAGACGCCATGAAGGACCACAATGGTTCAAAGTTTACTGACATAAACAGTAAAACTCACAGTTCCTCAGGAAACCACACTAAGCCCTAAGCCCTGAGAACTCTGGCACATGCAGAGGATAGCACAAACGTCCTTACCATGCTAGGCAAACACCGAAAACAGCGCTTGGAAAAGAAAAAAGAAGCAGAATTTGAAGTGATGAACTGCTCATGCAGTTTGAATGACATGCTCTGCTTCTTCTCTAGAAATAGAAGTCTCTGCCAACGCATGTGCTCTCCTAAATTGTGCTGTGTTTATTCTAATGTTTATATTTTTGATCTCTTTACAACTAGACTCCTATGCAACCATCTAGAGTATTCATCAGACGCACAGAGTACATCGGAAATGGGAAATATCACCTAATCCTTGCAGAGTGGTAGTTTACCAATGTCTGTATCTTACTAATAATTATTTTATATCATCTTAGATTCATCCACTCTTCCAGTAGGTTTAAGTTTTCAATTTTCCATTTATATTTGTTATAGTTCATTGGACCTGTCATCCTATCTTTTATAGATGACTGAACAGAAGTTCAGCTGTTCCTATTGGAACATCTTAATGACAGCTTTTGGTTTCCGACTGAAATCATGCAGGGCTGTTTTAGCTTGTTCTTTTCTTTACATACATATGTTTTAGCCAAAAGGATATAATACTATATAAATGGTAGATAAACAGATGGAAAAATATAGACAATTTAGTAACTGAGTGAAATAGTAACAGCAGCTGCTCTGTAAGATTTAAAGATATGTTACAAGCTAGACAATCAAGACAATTTTAAAAGTATTTCATTCTAGGCCTTTTCAGACATAGGGCTTCAGGTCATTTTCTTCTAGTTGGTTAAAAGCAGTAAGACAAAGGCTTACAATATGACATACAAGTGGCATGATGCTTTTATAATATAGCTTTTGCCATCTAATCTTTTACTTTGTGTTGGTTTCCCAGCAATACCCCACAGGGAAGATTTTCTTTCTCTACAGTCTTTTGTGCCGATACTGTTGCTGGTGATTTTTGCTTGCTTAGTTTCATACCACAAATCCACCACAGAATTTCCACAGTCTCTGGCTAGGATGAAGGCTCAATTGTAATTGATTGACAGCCCAGGCCTAAGTCTGTGCTCAGACATGGTTATGCAATTCACTGCATTTCCCAGAATATTAACATTGTGATCACCTGCAAGGTATGCTTATGAACATATCATACGTCACATTTACTGTGGAGTAAGAAAGCAACAATTTGTAATGAACAATCATTGCTCGAAAACTGAACCCTACTTTCTCCAGAGCACAAAGCTGTTAAAAAAACAACAGTAACGACAATCACCACCACCAGAAAAAATCAGCTGTCTCACCTCCCTAATTGCTACTGCCCACACTCCCAACCTCAGCACTTCTCTATCAGATGGAATCTTCCACCCTTACCTTCAGGGATCTAGGCAACTTCACGCTGCATGTCTTCCCTCATCCTCTGTAATCCACTAATAACTCCAGTACAATTACTAGCTTAGTTTCCAGGCTGGTCTCATAGTGAAGAAAAAAATTCCTACTCCCATGCACAAGATGTCCACTAAGAATCCCAAATTTCCCTGTGCAGTCAGGCTGCTCATTTCACTAGTTTTCTACTCTAAGTGCTCTTCTATTTCCCTGTTGTCACTAAACCAGAGAGTCAGTCAAGTTGACAAGATCTGGCTTGCCCTTTTAACTATCCCACCGCAATCATTCCCAGGTTAAAGAAGATACAGGTTAACATTCCACAGAAACAACAAAACACACACAAAATATACAAGCATTCAAAGATAAGATTAAAAATATTATCCCTAATTTATTTCAGTCAGAACTAAGCTATTTACTGTAGTAAAATTCAGCCAGTCTCTTGCAGGTAAAAGTTTTCCAAACTGATCCGGGAACCTGAAGGATGTGATGCAATGGCAGGGATGAGCTGGAGCTAGTCTGCTGCCCTGAGGGATAACATTTAA